GAGATCATTTTCAAAGCAGGGCCTGGACAAAGAAGGAAGGGTCTGTTATTGGGGACACATACGTATTCATATAGGCAAGACTCAGCGACACATGCAAAGGCTGCATGTAAATTCCTAAGCATGCTCAGATAGAGGTCATACAGAGTCCATAAAAAATGACAAATTCAAACACGTTTGGGTAGAGAATTTAGAATTATATTGGTCAAAGTTTCCTGTAGGCCACCTGAAAAGAATGAATCAGGGTGATTCCAAGGTTTTGGCTAATTTCTTGCAAGTTTCTGTGAAAAGCTTTATCTAGGAGAGAGAGGGAGGGAAAGAAGGGAGGGGAGATGAGAGAGAGGTGATTTAAACATATAGAGGATTTTTGCCCTGTAAGTACAGGAGATTCCCCCCAAAAGTGCCTCTTTAGCAGCTAACATTCCTAGTTCAGATGGAAATTGTTTTGGTAAAAGTTACACTTTTCCTAAAACTCAATTGCAGTTTTTCTGCAATCATTTCTGTGGATCTGAAGTTCTGGGATCTTCTCTGCAGAGTAGAAGGAAATGGCTTTACCCCAGGACCCAAAAACATCTGCCAAAAAAAAATTATATATACCTGCTACAGGAAAGCTCTCCCTCTCTCTTTCCCAACATTTCATATTTCTCTCTTCTCGGTATACTGTATACCCTTCCAGGAATTTTCCCCATTGATCCAAGGAGGTAACATGGGGAGGGCAGAGAAATTCCCAAGTGCTTCCTCCCAGACTAAGTAACAGGAACAGACACGCCGCCACTCAGAGCATATAAATAAAGACCACAAACATCAGCTGTGTTGAGGCTAAGCAAGACTGCAGCTTTTAAAATGAACAGGACTGGGCCTAGAACACCAAAGGGGAGGCCATTCGGTGACTGGTTATAGAATCTAGAATCTGGTCCTGATGTGAGAGGAAGCTGAGATCTGGTGGGGAAATGATAAGTTATCAACACAGAGTTAAAAGCAGTGACGGGGGAAAAAACATTTCTGTTTATGCTCTGAATCATTTTATTTTTTTCCATTAAGATTATTGGTACATTTCAGGTAAACAATACAGTTACATTCATCATTGGGATCCTGTACCTTCACATGATGTATCTTGGTTCTTATTTTATTCCCATTCCCCTGCCCTCCCTTCACCCCATCCACCCTTCCCTGTTTACCAAACCTTTGTTTCCATTTTTCCCTTTTTTCATATTTTTTCTTTTCCCTTATTTCCTTTCCCCTACCCTTTCCACTTCTCCTACTCCTTTAGCCCTTTTCTTCCTATCTCACATTACTGAATGGTTTTAATGCTTAGATAAGTACATTATATATAAACAAGGTGACGATTATCTGCTGGAAGGACCGTGAAGCCATTTCCATCTGTGGATATACAGTTTCACCACCAAGATGGAGTTGCACAAAAAGTCAAATAGTTGGCTTTGTGAAGTAAACAAAAGTGAGGCTGGGGTGGCAACATCTGATGATGAAACAGAGAGTCGGAAGATTCTAGGCTATTCACAAGGGGGGAGGGCAAGGTAGACACAGAGGACCCCAGTGGGGAGATGTCAGATAGAAAGGAGATAAAAGAAGGGGGATGGGGATAAAAGAAATTGCCAGACTCTGACACAGACTACCTCGTGCAAAACGACCAAAACAAATTTGACATCCATTTGCCAGAATGAAAAAGGGAAAGAATCTATCTGACCCTACCGGTATAGAAACACTGAGGAACAGAAATTAACACCATCAAGAGGGAAGAGCCTGCTCTTGACCAGAGCCTGGGGCTCAACTCTGCTTATGTTTAGCCTCACTGAAATTCCTTGCGAAAAGCCCACAGTGAGCAAATTGTAAAAAGGAATAAAACAGACATTAAAGTCAAAGCACCTAATCCCATATCTGAATTTTATTCTCCCCTGCAGGCCATGGAGAGTTGACATCTTAAAACTTCCTGAGCAAACAGACCCTGGGGTCTCATGATAATCAAATTCTTCTGGGCCTGTCCGGGTTGGGGTGGGCACTTCTCCACTCTAGCAAGCTACTGATGTAACCCATGTGACAAGCCAATGAGTTGCATTGTGAACAACAAGAATTGAGACCATCAGAATCTGTCTACAGAATTTAGAAGTGAAAAAGAATCAGCCTTTACCCCAGCCCTCACCCCCCCAAAAGAAAAAAAATTTCATTTGTTCATTGACTCACTCATATATATTAACATCCCACATGAGGTTGGGCACAGGCATAGTCCTAACCCAAGGAGAAACAGAGGATTATGGTCCAAAAAAATCCATGACATCTTCATTCCCTTCCACAATCCCACCAGACATGCCGTGCCAGTTGGTCAGCATCGTGCCACCCTTTGGTTGGGTGTGATCTTTCAGGAGAATCCTCTCCCATAGCCTCCAAAGGCCTCATGATCACAGGGGCTGTGGGAAGTTCTACCACGCCTTCATCCTTCCTGGTCATCATTATCCCTCCTTTACCTCACCTGCTCCAGAGATGCCCCAAGGAACAGATGTATCCAATTTGAAATGGGACAGCTCTTACAAAGCGCCCTCTGGGGTAGCAAGGTCATCTAAGTGTCTTGGGTCAGAGAGGGAGGAGCCTGCTCCAGTAGAAAGAGGACATCAGGAAGGATGGGCCCTTGACAGTCTGCATCAGTGCAGTAGGAAAATTGACAGCACTGGTTCCTGCTTCCAAAGTATTCTTCTTCTTTTGACCAAGTAGTTGGACCCTTGGTGAAAAGACATTTCAGAAGCACGTCTTGAGCTCCGATGGTTTGGGCTAAAAAGTTAGACTGAAACTACCAGAGGCCTCTCTTATCCTGTTAGCATCTGAGAGCCCAAAGAGATATACTGAAAATCCCTGATATTTACTAGAAATTATACTAGAAATGCCTTTGATGGTAGAGAGTCTACTGGAAACTGTAGATATCATAGTGGGAGAGTCTATCCTGGACCAGCCTGTGTGGATGGGGGCAGGGCACACTCCAACTAGAGGGTGACGGATTTTCTGGACATAGTGATGGTCGGGTGTAGAGGGAGAGCAACCCCACATGACACAGCTCAAGGACCTGATGAGACTCCAGAGGGCTGGCTACAAAGGACACCAGGCACAGCAGCCCTATGGCCAGGGCAGAAATGGACTGGTCCCAACCATCAGAGGCATCCTGGGGGCTGCACAGGAACTGCTCAACCGACAATGGGGAAAGGACTTTGAGCAGAGTTAGGGTCTCTCCCTGCCTGCCTGGAAAGTTTCTTGGGATCAGGCTACTGAATGGACAAGTCATGAAGACCCATCCTGTGTGCCCACTGAGTCATACAAGCCCTAACCACAGGTGTTTACACACCAACAGCAACCCCAGAGCCTCCCTCTCCCTGAGATTTTCTCCTCTATAGCTTCCCTTCTTCTGTTCCCCATTGTTACTCAATGATCATTAGCAGGTCACCTTGCTGCCTGCTATACCACAAATCTGGTAATCAAGTAATATTCTTTCTTTGTAAGATAGGGTTTTTATGCCTGGCTTCCAGTCAGATTGTGAACTCCTTGATGTGAGTAACTATATTTTAAGTCTGTCTGTATCCTAAACCTTGCATATAGTCAAACACAGGAACAATGAAGGGTCAACATATTGGCCTGCTGCCATTTTAAAGATGCCGGTAGAAGCCATAAAGCCCCCGAGTCAAAGGTGTAGAGCCACTTGTTAGTGACAATGGCAGCAGCCATGGGATAGCATTTCCACACTGGTCTCATGATGCTGATTCCCAGGACAACACAGAATACACTGCCGTGACCCCTATATGTGCACTGGGCCAGGTTCCAGGAGCAGACTCCTGAGCTTAAGGAACCTAATTCTTTTATAATAGTCAATGAGCAGTGGAACCTGAAGGTGGCACCTGATGAGCGGTTCTTAGGGGACAGTGGAATGCTACCCACTTCCTCTTCCCCCTTTTTTCACCCTCCCTGGTCAGGAGGTAAGAAGTGTTGTTCTACCACCTGCTTTCATCTTAATGTGTTTCCTCACCACAGGACCAAAAGCAATGAGGCCAACAAACCATAGAATGAAACTCCTCAAAGCATAGAGGTTTTCCCTTATAAATTGATGATTATATCAGGCATTTGTTATAGTGATAGAAAGCTGAGGGACACAGCCTCTTCACGCATTATCTCAGCTCAACTTTGCTTCTGGGCTGTACTACATTTGCATTAATTTGTTTAGCAGAGATTGAGGAGCTTTCATCCCTCCATTGCTGAAGTAAAATAAATATTGAGGTTCAATTGTTCTAAATTTCTTTGCACCTCTAACTTCTTTCCTGAGGTTGTGGGTGGGGATTGCCAAGTTTGGAGCTCAAGTTTTCCTGACTGATGGTTTGTGGGCTCCTGACTCTAATACCAAGGAAACCACACTTATCGTACAAGGGAAAGCTGTTTCTAGCACAAGACTTGTGTAAATAAAGGGAGAGCCCATCTCCAAAGGGGAATTATTTTTCCTGGTTTTTTTTTCTGTTTAATCAGCATTAGGGAAAATGTGACAATATCTCTTCCTAGAACAGAGGACACCAGAGGGGAACAGTGGGTGAGGAAGCAGGAAGAGCAGAAGGAGGACTGCACAGCGGCTGTGGCAGAGGCAAGCGTGAGGTTGGTTGTGGGTGGGGATTGCCAAGTTTGGAGCTCAAGTTTTCCTGACTGATGGTTTGTGGGCTCCTGACTCTAACACCAAGGAAACCACACTTATCGTACAAGGGAAGGCTGTTTCTAGCACAAGACTTGTGTAAATAAAGGGAAAGCCCATCTCCAAAGGGGAATTATTTTTCCTGTTTTTTTTTTTTTTCTGTTTAATGAGCATTAGGGGGGGATTGCCAAGTTTGGAGCTCAAGTTTTCCTGACTGATGGTTTGTGGGCTCCTGACTCTAACACCAAGGAAACCACACTTATCGTACAAGGGAAGGCTGTTTCTAGCACAAGACTTGTGTAAATAAAGGGAAAGCCCATCTCCAAAGGGGAATTATTTTTCCTGTTTTTTTTTTTTTTCTGTTTAATGAGCATTAGGGAAAATGTGACAATATCTCTTCCTGGAACAGAGGACACCAGAGGGGAACAGTGGGTGAGGAAGCAGGAAGAGAAGAAGGAGGACTGCACAGCGGCTGTGGCAGAGGCAAGCGTGAGGCGTGGGGCCAGGAGAGGTCCTGGGGACAGTTCTGTCATCGCATGGGCCCGGAGCTGCTTTGACAGGAACACGGAGGAACCTAGGCAGGGTCTTCAGCTGCTCACAGGTTTATGACAGTCAGGGTCTCCTCCTTGGAGGTAGAAGGGGTCACTGGATTCACCCTCAGGAGCTTCTGATTTGACTCTTCCTCATCCTGAAAAAAGGGGAGGGGCACCAATGAGAGAGAAAAAATGAGAGAAGACTTTGCTTCACAGAACCTGAAACCAGGAAAGGCAAGAAGCGGGGAAAGGAAAAGACCACAGAAATAGAGCTCCAGTGAGAAAAGGCAAGGTGGCAGAGAAGGGGGACTTAGACAGGTGTGTGGAACAGAGTGAAGGAGACAACAGGGAATTAGAGAAAGGGAAGATGTGGTGAAACACAGGGCAGCACACATGATGGAGCTGCATTCCCCAGCATTCTGACAGCAGCTGGGCCTGACTTCTGATAAGAAGCTCCAGGCTCCAAGGCCCCTCCCTGTTCCCACACTTTTCCCTGCCCAGACCCACACTCTCCCACACAACTCCTTGACAACTCACTAGGAACTCAGAGCTTTGACCACGCTTGCTCTGAAGATGCAATCCCAGGGAAGCCAAAGACACGATGACATTCAGGATACAGACAACTGTGAGCAGGATACAGAATCCCAGGAAGAGGTGCTGGAGATAAAGGAGGAAAAAAAACAGTCAGGAGTCAGTGCCTCTGAGTCTGCGTACACTGCACGTGCCTACCTTGGGCAATAAAGGTGATACCATCCTGGGGCAGGGCAGCCCTGATCCGGCCTGGCAGCTTCCCATTCTTACCTATTCAAATGCTCATGATGCCCCCCACCTTGTTGCCATGCCAGCAGTAGCAGGAGCCACTAGAAGAAGCTATTGTAATCTGAGAAGTGCCTGCTGTTTAAATTAAAATCTCCTAAACAAAGACCTAGGGCGAGTGCAGGGAGCCGATGCCTCTGCCCTCCAATGCCCTTGGGAGAAAGGGATATGAAGGGTCCCAGGAAGACTGGACTCTTCCTTCTCACCAGGGTCATTTTCATTGATGATCTACAACGCTCTGTCCTCCAGTATGAGTTGTCATCCCTCCATCTGTAAGCAGTGGTTGTGGTGACAGGGACTAGCCCATTACAGACGGAGTTGAACTTCTTGTAGTTTAAGTCGTCTGTTTGCCAGATTAAGCTCCTCACACAAAAGACAGTGGCAGCCACAGAAGCAGCAGTGCCAGCCAGGGTGAGCAGACCTGACACAGAGCCCTAGAAGAGAGAGATTCAAGATGCAGCTTCCGTTCATCATTGGCAGAGCCGCGTGGGTGCCACCCTCAAATCTGTCTCTTCTTCCCAGCTCCTAGAAACCCTCTCAATCCTCCAGGATCTGAGGACATTGGGAACCAAAGTATAGAAGACAGAGACTGAGTGGAAAAACTATACATAGGAGGGATTTGAAAGACAGGGTCTGGGGGAGAGGGTGCCCAAGACTCACTGAAAGTTTGCCCCGGTGTTTCTCATGGACAATGGTCCCAGCTCCTGCGGCAATTGCCTGGAAAGAGAAGACACTTAAAAAAGTGATTTGCTCTCCTAATTGATCTCCTATCACCCTTCCACCCATAGCTCCCAAAAGAGCCAAATGGAAGCAGGATTCAAGAGACTAGCAAAGAAACCTCACATATGAACAGAACTTCAGTTATACTGCCCCATCCACTGGAACCTTGTGAAAGAAGAAGTAGACAGATTAGGGTTTGTCCCAGCCCAGAGGTGGCTACCTCATGGAAAAGGGAGCATGTGAACTCTGGGATTTTAGTGGCTTTCTCCAAGCATCTACCTACAGCCAAAGGAACTTTTTGCTTGTCCGTCACCACCTGCCTGCCACTGAGCTCCCAGCCCATCCCTTACTCACCACAGACCCTGCCCAGAAGGCACAGCCCAAGACACGCAGCTCAGTCCTGGGCCCAAAGTAGAGACTCACTCCAAGAGTACAGCTCACAACCCCCAGCAGTATCTGCGACACCTGCAAGATAGGATGAAAATCAACAGCCCAGCTCCTACCTCTTTTTCCTCTCCCCCCACCTTCCTGCACCTCTGATTCCAGAAGATTCTGTTTCCTTACTAGCCATTGAGCTGCACTGGCCTGGTTCTCCCTTTATCCCTCTTACAGGCTTGGCTGTTTATCCTTTGTTACTTTTTTTTTCCTAAAAGAAATACTTTATGATGATCCCACCAGATAGTTTCCATTTTTTTCTCCTCACCTTCCCTTAGGAATGTCATCATTTTGTCCCAATCCTTCATTTACCCTCTGCTTCCAGCTCTGATACCTCTCTTCAGGTTCAAATATATAATTCTGAGGTCTCTGTAGTAGACACAATGATATGTCTTTGGCACCCCCCCTTTCCAACAAAGAGTCCCCTTGTCTTTCAGCTGAGAAAAGATGTGATGTCCCCAAGCCGCTGACTGAGGAAGACTGTGGCTCAAGAATCACGGCGTCCCATTGTGCAACTGTGGTAATGGACAGTCTGCTGGGGACCCCCAGCCCTATCCTGCTCCCTCTCTTTTCATCAATAAATCATTTGCACCCCTAATTCTCACTCAGGGTCTGCCTCCTGGAAAACTCTGCTCACATAGGCCCCTGGATACCCTCTGAGATTTGTGATTTTTTAAGTTCTCTTTCCCAACTCCCAGAGCCCCAATCTGCTGGTCATCCACACTCCAAACCTCTGCACGTTCTTGGGTTTATCTCTTCTCTTACACTCCAAACCCATTCACTCCCGAGTCATGGCGACACCATTAACAAAGGATTTCCACTCCTGCTTTCCCTTACCACTTTGGCTCCATCTACACAAGCACAGACGTTTCACATTTCCCATCTGGACACCTCCAGCCGTGAAGCAGCTGGAGCCCAGCTTCCTGCTTGGAATCTATGCCCTCCTGCCACAGACACTGACTCAGGACAGACTCCTCCAGGGCTTCCTTACTCAGCCCTGAGCCGCTTTCTCTTACTCTGTAGTGTTACAAACTTGCCCAATGCTCTCCAGCCTCTTTGCCTTTCCTCCTGCCACTTGTGTGAACTGCAATTGCTGTTCTTTTATCCCTGACCACTGTCTGCCTTAATCCATTCCTTCAACAGGGTCCATCTCAAACACCAACTTCTGCCCACCATGGATGTCAGGTGTGATACTTTACATCACCTGATCTACCCTGAATTCTACTTATTCTGTGCTACCATTTTGGAGGGAAATGGAACACTTTTCAGGGTAGTCTGACTGGAAGGGCCTAGCATACTGCCTGGCACCAGCAGCCTTGGTTTCCATGGGTTCAACCAAACCCTTTAATTAACAGAGATTCTTCCACCTCTACACCACACAGGTTGATCATTCCTTTCCATCCAAGCTCTGCAGGCAAAGTTCCAAAAATTTCCCCCAAATATGATGTCAATCCCTGTGGGGATTCAACCCACTTTCCCTTCTGCATCCTATTAAAGAAGAGGATTTATAGGAAAACTCAAGCGCTTTGAGATAACAATGTTGAATGAAATAAATCAGATACATGAGCTTCAATGTCACATGGTTTCTCTTATTTGAGAAATGCAGAGTATAAATAAATTAAAGAGCAAAATAAAAGATGATAAGAAACAGGGAGATCGATCTTTTGCAACTGGGAAGTAGGCCGTGTGGTGGAGGGATGGAGGCGGGAGAGAAAGGGAAGGGGCCTCAAAAAAAATTAAAATGTGTTATTATTTGTACTGGCTCCCCGCTATAAATGTAATCATTATAGACTGTAAACATGTACTAACAAAGGTAAAAAAATTTAAATTTCTTTTAAATGAAAAGAAGTGTTCCTTTTTGCCCACAGCCCCTCAAGCACTTATTAGTGGTTGATTTGCTGATAACAGCCATTCTTTGTGGAGTGAAATGGAATCGCAGAGTTGTTTTGATTTGATCTCTTGAATGACGGGTTTCTACTTCTTCATCTGAGAAGTGTCTTTTCATTTCTGATGCCTGTTTTTGGACTAGGTCTTTAAATTTGAGGGTTCTGATTTTTTTTTGTTTTAGTTCTTTATATATTCTATATAGTAGTCCTTTGAGGAATAGCTGGCAAATTTTTTTTCCCATGCTGTGGGTTGTCTCTTCACTCTGTTGGTGGTTTTTCTTGCTGTACAAATGCTTTTTAATAACATGAGATCATAGGGCTAGGGATTTAGCTCAGTGGCACTGTGATTGCCTCACAAGTGCAAGGTCCAAAAGGTACAAAAAGAAAACTAAATTAAAGGTAGAGACTCCATTTGATCCATCTATTCCCTCTGTTGGTATCTTCCTGAAATAATGAAAAGCATCATACCACAGCAATGCATGCACACCCATGTTTATAGCAGCACAGTTTGTAATAGCTTATCTTGGAAACAACCCAAATGCCCATCAACTGACAAATGGATAAAGATGTGTGTGGTTTGTTTTTACACACTGGAGTACTACTCTGCCATAAAGAAGATGAGCTTGAGACATTTCTAGCTAAATGGGTGGACCTTGAGACCATACTCTTAAGTGAAATAAATCAGACACACTGTTTAAATGCCACATTGTTTCTCTGGTATGAGAAGCTTAAAGTAGAAATAAGGACTAAAATATATAATAGATATTGGGAAATGGGAAGAAAATGTTCAAATGGGAAGAGGAACAAGGGAGGGAGGAGGGAGAAAGTAAGGAAGGGGCAAGAAAAAAGTGAAAATAGAAGGAAAAATGGAAACAAAGCTTTTGTATATAGGGAGGGGAGGGGAGTTCGAAGGAAAAGGAAGTGGGAAAGAAAGAGGCAGGACATATCATGTACAGGTGCAAATTCCCTGTGATGAGTGTTACCATTAAGTATGTCTGACATGTACCAATAAATGTTTTGCTATTAAAAAGAAAAGAAAAGGAGGGTTCCACCCTCTGTGTCACCTCACTAGCTGCCCCCCAACCACCAACAGCCCACCCTTACCCCTAGAACCAGCTGCTCCTTATTTGTCCTGGCCTTGGAAGGCCCAGAGTCCCGAGGGCGAGAAAGAAACTGCTTCAGGGATCCCACTGCCTTCAGCAGCTGTGTCAGAGCTGACTGCTGGTGGATGTGGATATTGATGTGCGTGGGCTGGGAGGACACAGAGGCCACACTGACTCCATTGACAGTCACCATGTTTTGGGACATCCTGCCTGCAGTGGAGAAGATGGACAGAGTTAATGAAGTCTAGGGAGCGGGTAAGATAAAAAGGAGTACCGCGGGGCTGAGAGAGGAGACAGTCTCCTTGTCATGGTCCAAAGGGTCTTCCCAGTGCTGACATCAATGGCACAATGACCTTACTTCAGGGTGCAAATCCAGATTCCATCTAGAGCTTTTCATCTCACGAGTGCTTGGATGCCTTCCCAGAATGATGTGATACAGTCTGTCTAGGGTCCAGAGTGGGGAGAAGACAGCTCTCCTGCTGTCTGCCCAAAAGATGTACACATCAAAAAAGAAAAACTTGCATAAATATTTTAATACTCAATTTACTAGACATCACGAGATCAATACGAGTTCCCTTTGATCTCTACAATTACAAGAGATGCTCAAAGTGGTGTCCACGAGCTTCCAGACATTTCTTAGTACAGCAAACTGCTAAAGTGTGCGTATATTTTTTGGTGGACTCTGTATATATATTACACATAATTCTCTCCCTAGTTAAAAAACTTCAGAAGATATTAAAGGGACACTAATATGATCAATTTCTTACATATCCTCCAATGACATTTTTGTGCACAAAAGATTTCTTCTTGCCCACAAGATTTCTTCTTGCCCACAAATGGCAGCATGCCACACATGCTACTCTGCACAGCACTGCAGTAGCAGAGCCACTTGTTTCATTAGCCCAGCATCATTCCGTAAAAAGACCTCTTTATTCATGTGTGTAACTGCATTTTTTCCAGTATGTGAATCTATCATAATTTATTTAACCGATACCCTAACAGACATTTAGCCAACTTTAATCTATTTTATGCCATACAATGCTCCATTTTAAATGCTCATCTCAATAAGTTTTGACAAACTACAGTTACAATCAAGACATAGGATATTACTATGTTGTAAATATTTCCTAAGGGTTCACCACAGAGAATCCCCCAACTGGGCATAGGTGACTATCGATCTGCCTGCTCTAACTAGTTCAACATAGTTTCAATCCGTAGTTCTCTCATTAGGAATGAAGTCAATCATCTTTTCACATGTTAAAAGACATGTTTATTTCTATTTTCTTTTCTTAAGCTCTCCTTGCCTATCCTACATCCTTCCTCTTTTATTTTGTTCCTTGTAGAAGTACTTCATATCATCAAAGAATTACCATCTATGACATGAGTTCTAAATATTTCTTTACAACTATGATTTATATTTTGACTTTGTTTGAGTTTTTGTCCAGTTTCACTTTAAGGAGTAGTTATGCTTAGGAAAGTTCTCTCTTATTGATGCTAGAAAGGTTTTATTTCCCACTCTAAAAGGACTTCCCCACTTCAAGATTTTAACAGTTCACCCATGTTTTCTTCTACATGGTTTCATGCTGTTTTCATTTTTAGTATCAATCCCTCTGGAATTCCTGTTATAATCCGGAAGATACGGATCACAGTTGCTCTCATTCAAAGAGCAAATCTCGGCAAGATCACTTCCACTTGTGACAGATGTCTCCTTTCACTGACTTAAATGCTCTCCTGAGCAAACAGAAGGCTCCTACAGGAATTTCAGTCTGCTGCAGGATTTTTGTTCTGCCCATTTGTATGTCTGTGGGGAGTGACGCGGCAGTACTACAGTTTGGGTTAGTGTTGAATTTAATATCTAACTGGGCTGCTTCTTGACTCCCTTGTACTTTTTTTTTCCAGAATTGCTATGGCCATTTTTGCTAGATTACTTTTCCACATACACTTGAGAATCAACTTCCCTGGCTCCAACAGACATCCTACAGGGACAATTCCAATGTGCATCCTGACCTAAGTATCACCGTTTAAACCCAATATTAATAACTATTCTGGGAACAGTGCAGAGTTCTCGCCTTTGAGAGTTTGGTGACCACCAAAGGATCTGATCACTCATGACAAAGCTACAGCAGGTGAGTGACTCAGATTGAGAAGGGTCTCCCCAGTGCCCCACAGTGAAAAATAAATAAATAAATAAATAAATAAAAGATAACTATTCTAATAGCGTTTGCCCTTTGCCTTCTGCCTACCTTTCAGAGCAGTCTTGCTCTTTCACCTATCTGGCCTCCTTTGCGTTTGAAGATCAGGCAAAATTTTGACAAGTCTGCAGAAGATTCATACCCAGTGGGCCCAGCAAAGGGACTCCAGCCCCAGATTCCCAATCTTCCCTCGGGGGCCCAGGAGCCATCTGAAAGGCGGGGTCTTCCAGGGGTGTACTTTGAGCCCCAGTTCCCCCAGACACCCTAGGCAACACTTCCCTGCCCCACTCTACCCCCATGGCTCCCAAGACCAGGATCTGAAACCAAGAGCAGTCCTGCCCTGCCTCCACTCTAATCCAGGCTTGGTCCAGCTGTCCTGGACACTTGGCTTTGTCCCTCTTCCCAGGGCTGGAGCTGGAGAAAGAGCACTCTCTGCCATCCCAAGCTACAGCCATGCCACCTCAGGGGTCCGGCCCAAAGGAGCCACATCCATCCCCACCCAGAGTGTAGGCTGGGGAAGGCGGGCTAGGCCTCCTCTGAGCCCCAACCCCCCATTGTAGGGTTGCAGCTCCTATTCAGCCCATTTCTCCTTCCCTAGAGTCCTACAGGAGGGAAAAATGGAGGAAGAAGGGCATCCTGTACCCAGAAGGGCATAGGCTTGGAGTCTCTGGTCCACACTCAGAGAGGCTCCTGAAAAAGGGCCTCCTGGGTGGTGGGGGCTCTGCCTCACCTGCTGTCCTCGGGGAGCCAGAGCAGAGCAGGTCTGGGAGGAGCTGACTTGGAGCCAAGGACTGGCAGCTTGGAGGGAGGAGAGCAGGGAAAAGGGATGGTGAGAAGAGGTGCAGCCTGGCTTCCTCATTTCCCAGCAGACAGCTAAGACCAAGGGGCCTCTCTAGGGGGGGTTCCATGGTGAGCAGATGATTAGGCCAGCTCATGAGTGCACGCACGCACACATACACATGCACACTCACTCACATCTACTCAGACAACATGCACAGCAAAGACCCACACTTGCTAGGAAAGCCTGGCCAGTTGATTATATACCTGATACCCCCACAATCCAACCTCCTCCTTCCTCTCCACTTCCGCAGCACCCATGGACCCCCCTATGGCTGGAAAACCCTAGAGGAGCCCCTCTGCCTCGCTGTTTTATGAGGAGGGTGAAAGTCTGGTCACCCCTCAACCTCCCTTCCCTCTGGCTATCAGCTTCCTCTTCTAGCCAGGCTACGCTCCCTCTGCTGGCTTCTCTTCACTCATCCCGCCCTCCCAGAAGAGCAGGTGAGGCAGCCCCTTCCCCAGGGACCTCCTTGCCACAGCTGCCAATAGAAGCGCTACAGGGAGCCAGGGGGCTGTGGGAGGGGTTCTGGTTATGGGGTCACAGGGCTCTGGAGAGAAGAGACAAGAAGAGTCAGGGTCAGTGGTGGGGGTGAAGAGGGGATGTGTGTGGGCACTGCTCAACCCAGACACTGGGGTCTGAGAGGACCAAGAGGGGCACAAAGCAGACCTGGACTGATATGGAAGCCCCAGCAGGGACAGACAGCTCTGGGACCAGGAGCCCCACGGCCCCTGAATCCCAAATTCTGATGAACTTGAGTTCACTTTGCGTCCCCAGTCTTCCCTTGTCCTCCCTCAGACGGACTTCCATGGACTCGGGGACTGTAGACAGTGGCAAGATGGCCTCCGAGGGCCCGCAGCCTACCCACATCAATGTGCACATTCACCAGGAGTCAGCACTGGCCAAACTCCTGCTGACCGGATGCTCCCTGCTACGGCTCCCAGCCACAACCACCAGCTCCACCAGCCAGACCTTGGGCAGCAGCCGACTGCTGGTGGCCTCTTGGGTGAGGGGTTGCTTGCCTCACGGGACCAGGGAGGGACTCCTCATTCCTCTTGTCTGGCCGAGGGAAGGCTCCTCTTCTTGCTCCACCAGGCTCTCCAAGAAGAACAGTGACTCAGTGTGATCTTCTTATTAGAAACTGATTTTTGCTGCCTTCTCAGTGCCTGCTGAGCTAAAGGGGCAAAAAAGCTCGCTCTCTCTCTCTCTCTCTCTCTCTCTTTCAATCTCTCTCCCCTCCAATCAGTATATCCAGAGTGTAGCAGCTTCTCAAAGCCACCCTAAGACCCCAGGGGCCAAGGAGCTTCCTCTGAGCTCTGGCATCCAGGCTGGCTCCTAGCTCCTGCATCTTTCAGGTTGTACAGATCGTGCTGGGGCTCCTGAGTGGGGTGCTGGGAGGATTCCTCTACATCCTCAAGTGCTACAGACTGTGCTCCTCGGGAGCTGCCATCTGGACTGGGGCTGTGGTGAGTGTGGCAGCTGACAGTCAGCCACCTGTTAGAGGGGACAGGGACCTTGCCCTCAATATTGCCTGGTCATCACAACCATCAGTGTGGTGCTGCAGAATGTTAGCAGCCAAAGAGACACTAATGATGCAGGCCATACCTCTGTTTGTATAGACAAGAAAACAGCCAAGGACTGCAGCCTGTCCAAAGCCACAGGATCAACTCTTTTGTCCCCTGGCTGGAGCTCCCCTAGCCCCAGACTGGCTACCATTCCCCACTGTCAATAGCAGTCACCACCTAGGATCTGAGGACCCATTCACCTCCAGATACTGCCTGGGGGTGGGGGACGACAATGTGCTGGAGAGGAAATGTCACCTCCCAGTTCTCCCCTTGTCCTCTGCATATCCCATGATGTGCAGATGAGTGCAGATGAGTACATGAATACTTGCTCATGGTGGGACTGGGGAACCCTTAGACACACGCACAATCTCAGAACAGTGAAACATGTCCACCTGTATTGAATGAAGAGACAAAAGGTGGGCCGGGGATTTAGCTCAGAGGTTCGGTGGCCTGCCTTGCAAGTGCAAGGACCTGAGTTCAATCTCCAGTACAAAAAAAAAAAAAA